CTTGAGTCGGGTTCGTTCTTTGCCAGTGAATAATTGTTGTATTTTGTACGCAGTTCAAAATTGTTAATTATTCATTTGCATACTTTTCATTTGCATAACTTCGTTTGTTTGTTTAATTGCTCCACTGCGCATGTTTCTTGTAGCCAATTCGCTTCGTTCTGTTTACATGCACTGTTTACATCGCACGCTGTTCGTGCCCAGTCATTTGTGTTCGGGTTATTTTATAGTGAACAAGATAAGCCGGCTCCACGCCAATCTAGTTTAAGACGCCCTAAAATGGTAAGTCTCGACCGGCGCCCCGTTCTTGCGCAAATGGCTTTAACGCGTGTAAACAATAACGCTGCCTTAAAAGCACGCCCTCAATGTCAGCCTCGCTCTTGAGTTTCATTCATTGCAACATGGCGGTAGCGATAGCAAAGCCGGCTCAGTTTAGTCTTTATACACGTATGAACACAGGACTAATTAAAACTACTAACGATTGTTACAAAGTTGGTCAAGTCGGCTCTGTGGCACACGTGTGAACATGGTATATTTACTATATGAAATGTTTATGACTTCACCTGCTACACTGTATCAATAACAATATAATAAATTGTATATAGCATGTGATTTGTTTATTTATTTCCTTAAACAAATGAATTTAGTCAATTTTTTTAAAATTACATAAAAAAAGTCACTTTGAAACTTGAATCTTTAGTCTGATATGTAGATATGCAGCCATATTTCCAACTTTGAATCGTGTGTAAGCAAGTTGGGATAATAATAATAATAGTTTATTACGCAACTGTAATCTGCTATGGATACAGTAAGGTAAAAATAGTGTAAAATAAAACAAATAAAAATAAAGCAACTAAAAATAACTACAAATTTAAAAGTTATAATAACTACAAAAATAGTAAAAAATAGTGTAAAATAAAGCAACTAAAAATAACTACAAATTTAAAAGTTATAATAACTACAAAAATAGTAAAAAATAGGGTAAAATAAAGCAACTAAAAATAAAGCAACTAAAAATAACTACAAATTTAAAAGTTATAATAACTACAAAAAAATCAGAAAGTAATAAAAATACAGTAAATAAAGTAAAGGTAAAGATTCTCCCTACCCAGGGGTTTACACAGGCGGTGCTTTGTATATGGTATTTTTAAGATATAGAGACAGAGCCTCCTTCTCTAGGTTTGCCACAACAAACCTTTTAACTGACCAATGCTGGTCAGACCCAAAATGGACATGAAATTTGCACCACTCATGCTAACAATAGTAGTATCATCTTGATGGATATGCGCTCTTGGTTTGCATTTATTGGGAGAACAGATTTCAGTTAATTTGTATTACTTATACAATCATGATCATTAGATAGCTTAGATTGGCCTTTGAGAGTCCTGCGAGTGGCTTCTTCTCTACCAAGTACATGTATATATTCCACAGTGGACACCATATTAATCTTTTTACCAGCAGCAACAGGGGTCTGAATGTACGTCTTCGTGTATGATGATTCGCACAAACAATCATCAATTTAAATTTTAAATTAAATCAAACAAGAACATCTCACAAAACAATTTGGTGCCATGCGGCCACAATATGATGGTTCAACATGCACATACTTGCGAGATTTTTTACAAAAGTGATTAAACTTGTTATCAAAATCACTTTATAAGTTATATCTGGGAGAGACTTATTTCTCATTGTTCACGTCTTTGTTGTTAACTTATATATTTTATAATATACATAGTCAAAGACTTTAATACAAAAAAAACAAAACAAACATGATACTGTAGAATACTTTATTTTCGCTTGGAATTTATTTTCGCTATTTTCGCTGAAGGGATGATTCCGTGAAAATAAAATCCAGCGAATATACTTTTTTCCCTATATTTCACATTAAACTCATGAAAAATCAGTGAAAATAAATTCCAAGCAAAACGCCCAAAAAGCCTTTTCAGCGAAAAAAAAATACCAGCGAAAATAAAGTATTCCACAGTATTACATTGTACATGGCCATTTCTCCAATGTGACATAACTGATCAAATTGGCATGTGCCGCTTCGGAACTGAAACCATGTCCAGTAGTAGACCCATTTATTTGTCTTTAGAAAAACTTGCGTGATTTGTGTATTTGTGTTGTAGATTTTGGTGCGTTTTTGGCATGATTTGCCAGACAACTAAGCTTGTACATTTTAAGCAGAAGATGTATACCAACTACCAGACTAAATCAAGTGAAAAAGACACCCAAATGAGGGGGAAGTACATAACCATATACATCTTCTAAGGAAGAACCACCCCATCCGCCCATTATAAATTGGCGTATAGCAACCAACAACCAATCCATAGACACATTACATGACTGTTGATGTAACCTGTCGTCATGGAACATCAATGAAGAACATAATTCATTTGAGTTAACAAGTTATTGCTGTTATTTACAGTAACACACGATTCCAACACGAAGTTGTTATCTGCTGTCTCTTTCAAATTGGTTGCTGCAATAGATTTTTGAGAAATACTTTGTGCGTATTACCATTTAGGTAAATGTTTATACATATTACCATTACCAATGTTCACTGTGGTAGATAAAACTGTAAGCATTCAGCATATTGAGAAATCTAGGTTACTGTAGTTAACTATAAATTGTACTATCTGATACAATATTCACTGTACTGTCCCCTATCGTGCCAATATTTAGAGTATTAACATGTATTGAAATTTGACTTTGATTTGAATTGATAAGTTGTTGGCCATTGCTTGTCTCGGCTTCCTTTTTAACCGTTGCACCTCGCACTGGGGTTGTACCTACAATAAAACAAATTAATATCATTGTACATTATGTATAACAAAATTGATTACGGAATTAATCATTAATAGTAATAAATGGAATAACAAGAGTTAAAACTTACTTGTTGGAGACTGTGTATTTGTTGATTCTGGTGATATATGTGGTAATACCTTTACATGGTTGTCCATTGAATCGATATCAGTTCTGTTAGCCATATCATGCACATTACTTGGATTGTCTGAAAAAAATAAATATATTTTTTGAGCATTCCAGGTAATGCATTTTGTCAAGATCATTTCGACCGGGTCAACAGAATTATATCATATGAGTCACGTGCATTTACCAGAAACAAATACAAGTTGTACACAACTTACCCCCGGTACTTGTTGGGATTTCATCATATTTTGTTGTTCTGCGTAATCGCCTATTGCATGATCGTTTACAAACTATACCACATATGACTACTACTAGTATCATCAGAATTGACATAATTATAATTATAACCTCATTATCTATGGAGTAAAACAGATACATGTAGTCGTATCATAAGGTCTGATATGACCGTGGGACAGAATTGCCACCGTCTTTTGAGAACATCAGGACAATGCATATAATGGAATTGATGTCAACGATACAGTTTGCAGTATATATAATTATTAGACTCAACATTGTAGTTGATATATTATCTAATCTGATTTATTTATTTATTTATTTATTTTATTTTCAAAATGTTGCCGTCATACCTTTAAACCAATTACTGTTTCCAGGCACTGCAGGGTATATGGTGGTCAGTTTTGTTATCGTACCTATAAATATAATGTGTGTGTCATTTACAGTTGCACTCCTGAATAATTCCTAAAGCTTTATTGAGAAAATGTCATATGAAATATCTGGTGAATGTGTACAAATTTTCTGTGATTTTCAGTTCGAATGGGCGTGAACATTTTAGTTTTATTTGCTAAGGCTTTTGAGTTGTATACCAACAAACGTGTTACCACAGGGCTTCCAGTTTGTGAAGAAATAGTGGGAACCAAGTGTTACTCAAGTGTTGTGAGGTCACTAATTATCAACAGCCAGCATGTATAGGCAGATATTTTCTGGTTCGATGGTATTTAGCGGACATCTGAAATAAGTTGGGTGCCCTACAAACATTCTCTGGGAGATGCAGATCTAGTTATTTTCTAGACTGCTATCACTTGATGTTCTTGTTGCAGATGATGCAGACATTCTGGTTCTCCTCTGTTACCATGCCAACAAGTCAACAATGGAGAACTTCCTCTGCACTGTGCAAAAAAGGAGCCAAGATGTTCGAACACACCATTTCTGAAATCTGCACTGGGTTCCTTGGCTGCGACACAACATTCCATACTCATGGCTTTAGGAAGGGAAGGGAACAGAACTGAATAGGAGTTTGAAATTGACAGACAGATAAACAAATGCCAAAGTACATTTAGTCAAATGTAAGACTGATTATAACAAGACTTTTTTGACAGTGTGTGCCCCTAAATCTACTGAAGAAAACCTTGTTTTAAATGACTGTAATTATCACAATTATCCAAGTTTGTCATAAGGTAAGGATAGTGAAAGGCAGTTTCTGTTTAAGTGTGTAGTATTTACATAAATATATAAACTTTGGCAAAGGGATAATTATTTTGTACTTCTTCAGAATCTTCCATAATTTTTAAGTCAATTCACATGAAATTCAACAAGAGACCCCTAATAATACCATATTTAGAAACCATACACATTACTGTACATGTATAATTTACATATTTATACTTTTACGGGAAAGGAGAATGTTACAAAAAAAGCTATATTAATTTGGGGCAGGCATTTGAATAAATTATGCAAATTTATGCAAATGAGGTGAAAGGATAATAGAACTTTGCAAATAAAGATGGCATAAATTTTTTATTTGACCTTAAAGACATTGGTATGGAACAACAGTCATCGGTATAAACTTTCAATGGGTTTCATATCCAGAGATATGTATTGCAATAAAGTATATGGTGGCCATTTTGAATATATTATGAATTTATGCAAATTAAATGAGTGATATTTAGGTATTATTAATGATACTATTTCTGTTCTTTGACCTTGAAAACATTGATGCCAATGGTGGGATTCTTTTGTAAAGGTGTCAAATCACAATTTTATAAACTACCGTAGCTTGGCAATTCCAACCACCAATTGAATAAAATGTGTATATATTTCAATACATACAGGTACACTAACAAAAATGAAATATTGATTAGATAATTTATTATATAACCTGGACTAATAATTTTTTTACATTTTTCTCTATCCGTGTAACTTCATGTGGGAATCTCAATAGATAGGATTTAGAATTCATAACTGGCAATTTAGTAATACTAGGGATTGTCAAATTGTCCACTTTGGCTACAGGATTTAAAAAAAAAAATATTGTACATTCACTGACATTCATTTTGTGGTTACATTTTTATAATCTGTCAGTGGTCGCAATCCACACCAGCAAATAAACATGTGAAGCATAAAAAACTGTTTCAAATCATAGCGTAAAATATGGGACTGAACCATTGTTTAACCTTGAGGGGAACAGAAATTACTTGCTTTTGAGGGTGCCATAATAAGTGGTGGTGAAAACCGTTTTTACATGTATGCTATGAAAAAAGGAAGATCTTGAACATACTTTATGTACTTTGATTACCTAACGTTTTTATGCTCATGTACTGCAAGTTAGAGTGCACATACCTAAGCAGCCGTCCCTCGGCAAATGATTTAGCCAGGCATTCTGTTTCAAAATCGCGAACTATCTGTTTTTACACAATCTGGGTAGTCTGAACTACTTAACGAATTAGATTTTTTTGAATTTGTTGGAATAATATTTTTCTCTTTAACTGTACAACAACCAAAGTCCTTACGATGCTTACAGGGGTCAATGAGAGGTTTAATTTATACAGTTAGACAAAGCTGGAATTTAATTGTCATTTATGTAGCAAATCATGTACAACAACCAGAAACCTCAATAATCCAGTGAAACACAAACCTGTTGACTGCTGCTGAGTACTGATCGTGTTACTACTGGTCTCACTACTGCTGTGAGTGGTGCTTATGTTATTGCTGACTGGCAATGCAGGGGTTGTAAAATCACAGGAGCATTCAGATCCATGTTTGGGTTCAAAGCACCACTGAAATGGTTTCATTTCCTCTGAACATTTGTCAACAAATTCTTGTCTGTCTATCTGGTGTTGACAACAACAGCTACAGTCCAGGCAATATCCAGCAAGAGCATCACAATATTTCCTGCAACAACAAAAAATAGGCCAATGGCCTGTTGCTCAACGGCTATTGTACAAAAGATGGAAAAGAGGAATTTTTTACAAAAATATTCAATAAAATTAGAATCAAAGAGAGCTTAAAAAGAACCCCAGTGTGTTGAGAGAATAACATAACATGATATTTGCAACTATCTGAATTCGTAATACATGTATATACCAAGTTTTTGTTGAAATATGTTGAATGGTTCCACCAAAAACTAAATATATCTGGAAACTGCCCCAACACATCCATGCACCAAGTTTTATTAAAACATATTAAATGGTTCTCAGAATATCACAAAAATAGCCTAAATATTGGTATGTAAATCAGGCAATTTGCATAATTTTCCACCAAAATCAATCATGTCTATACACATTTAAATATGTTGAGTGGTTATGTTTTTATTACAATCACAATAGACCAATCAAAGAAAACTTAGAACTCCCGTGTGCTATGTGAGAATGAGAAACAGTTGACATTGGAAATAGTGGTTAGTTGAAATTCCATTTTTAACCAAAAATGACTAAAATATTTGCCAAAATTAGAAAAATAAAGATATGGCCATGGGATGAACAAATCTAGTAGATGTCAACACAAGGTACATACACACCAAGTATCAAAGCATTCAGGCTACCGGTTTTGAAGAAGTTGAAAATAGAATTTTTGACCAAAAATGACAATTGTAAAATATTCGCCAAAATTAGGAAATTGAAAATTTCCTTACCAAATTAACAAAACTGATAGAGGACAACCCAAGGCACCACTTAGTGTCATAGTAGCATAGAAGAAATTATAGTGTTTTGGGGGGCTAATTTGCACAATTTTTGGCAGATCGACTTCTCATGAAAAAATTACCATCTACACTCATCAAGGCATCCACACAGCGAAAATCGAGTCAAATGGTTCGGCAGTTTTTGAGAAGAAGTTGTGCACAGACAGATAGATAGATAGATAGATAGATCCTTTTTGATTAGCGGGTATATAAAAAAATCGATAACGACTGGACAGTAGAAGTAAGAACCTCGAAACCCCACGGGCAGGCCAATACATTTTGGCACGGACAATGGGGGAAGCGAACCCCCCTGCCCTGTGCCATCGGGATAACAGTAATCCGTTTGACACATTTCTCGGTTCAAAATAAAACGATTAAACAATTACAAACGACGGTCACCAACAAGTAAACAATGAACAAATGACGACGTGGACGACATTAAACGATAAAATTCACAAATGGTAGTATATTCAAATTACAATAGTTGAATGGTAAAAATTGAGTTAAAAATAATAATTCTAAAAGTGCTTACAAGTACAATACTATTAAAAGGCAGGTTATTACAGTTTTCAGCCATTGTCTAAAAATTCGGGAATTGTTAACGAGTTGCCATCCAATATGGCAATGGCGTCGTTTATGCACCACTCTCACTCTCAATGTACATCTAGAGATTTTGTAAGCAGGTGATAGTTATATTCATTGGTCACTCGGTACTTAATATTTAATAGTTTATTGATAATTAGTTTCGATATGTTGAAAAGTTGGGCAAGTCTCGAACATTCAATAAAAATGTGGGTAATATCGTCCCTTTCATCAAAAAAGAGACACGTATCTGTGTTCTGAACTTTGCTTTTTAAAAGAAACCCGCCAGTTGGGTAGGCGTTGTGGAGGATGCGCCAATTAAAGTCGCCGTCTTTCTTTGTGATTGGGGTCACATAGCAATCTTTAAAGATGGGTTTAGCGTTGGGAGACAGACAAAGTAGGTCGTGCCATATGGTGTTAAACTTTGAATTGTGATTTGAATAATACTGATACATTATGAGGAATTTGTATATTTCGCCCCTCTCAAATTTGTAGAGCGGAGTATTCAGAAGAGTGTCATTATCATCGTCTCGGTAGCAAAGTTCAATATAATTTTTGGTTGTAGTTGACTCATCAGTCACGTTTTGATTGAGTATAATTCTCTTCCACTCAACAGGTATGGCCCGAATGAATCACATCGAGTGCCATCCCAGCTAGCCGCCTCGAGTACACATTTACTTTACTATGTATTGCGTCAACGCCCAACCATGAACCATTATTAAAAAGGTCACCGACCTTTGTGAGGCCAGCCTCACAAAAATGTAAAAGATTCAAAGGTGTATTTTGAATTGGATGAATAATTAGA